TGTCTTGACAGTGATGTCAGTGATATCGCCCCCCGGAAGTAGAGCATGAGGTGTAGGGAATTAGCGCACTAGAGCGAACGTGATTAGTAAAAAAATAACACTAATGGAAATATGAAAATGCTACAGTAATCATAGGAAACGACGTGGACGTCTGCTTGTCTCAACGCATGGTTCGTCCAATCGTTACCGTACGTAGTATACAAGAGTCCGCACTCGGTAGTTGTTTGCACCGCCTCCCGCCTAAGATCGACTTCCTTCGGGTCGTACATCCAGCTCTAATTGATTTCCGTTGCACTTTACTCAGTGCTTTACTCGCACTGTCATCCAAGACTCTTACCACACAGTTTGTTTCTGAGAGCACTCCTGGTTTCTTCAACTCAGACTTGAGCCTGGTTGGTACTTTCCCGTTTAAACCCTCTCACAAAATGCCATCTGGTCATAGGGGTTTCTCTGTTAGTTTCGGATGGTTTCAAGGCTGGTTTGTGTCAATTGATGTGCTTTTGATGGACTCAATCTGTGGCCTTTTCGGTCTGGTAATAGGGTGGTCACTTGTACATCGCTGATTAGTCTGGTTAACGCCCTGTTCATATGAAAACGATGTCTAACTGGTGGACTTGTGGACCGAACCTCTGTATGCCAAGACGCATTCTCGCTGCACCTGGTCCCACGTAATCCGGTTCCTTCGAGCAAACGCCTCTTGGTGGGTCTTAAGGGATCAGTTTGTCCAACCTGTTTTCTTGCAGGGGTGTGGCGCGTGTGTTGTCGATCCCCGGGACCTTGTATATTCTCTGTGCCAAAATGCCTTCAAAGTTCAGTCCACGATCAAAACGTAGTAGGCTGGGGTCACTTAGCGACAAATCCACTGTTTGTCAAAGTAATCCACGGGTGTTTTCCCTGTTAGATTCGCGATATCAAATTCAACCATTTCGTTTGGATAGTCAGCTTTCATTGTTTTCTTTATTTCATCGGGTGCTTGAGGAGTCTACATTCCTCAGGTTGACAGCGTCTTCGTATTGGTGTGGTCAGCAGTGATTGCGGGCAGTATGTTCCGCCCCAAATGTCCATACCACCTTAAATATAGTGATGTCGTTATCATTTGGTCCCGCAGCGACCGCGGGTCTCACCATTCGTAGCTTGTGCTCTCCATCCCCTTGCTATTCGATCGATTCGCGCCATTTACCATGGTTTCACAGACAACCGGGTGCTTTTGCCGCCACTCTTGACCCGTGGATTCAATGTTCATTCTCACTACATTCTGTGTCGTTGATGGGGGATGATTTCCTTGCTTCCTATTCGGCCGTCTACAAAGCACGTCGGCGCTGCTGTTGTTTGGCCGGCCGATGGGTACGTTAGAAATCATACAGCTGGAAGATTTCTCGCCACCTTTTCCATCTGTCTTGAAAATGTTGCAACCAGAAGGACGGTTGGTGGTCTGTCCGGACGATGATGTCCAAGTAGGTCGGTTCTAGAGAGAGCCTCAGGGTATACTCACGTAAGAGCATTTCTTCCGAGGTGCAGTGTGTGTGTTCGTCCTTGTTTAAAGCTAGACTCCTGTAGGCGATCACGTGTGCCGTCTTGCTACTGGGCGACCCAAGTGGTTAGAGCACAGATTTACTGACCGGAAGCTCCGTGGTTCGAATCCGACCTCCGCCTCTCGACTTCCCCTGTCTAGGCTTGGGCACTATGCCAGCCCTCGTGCTTCCTTCGAGTGGCATGGCAGCTAGGCACCGGAAGTATGCTACAGCTTGGGTGAGAACGGCCTCGGCTGTCCCTAGCATCGTTATCCAGTATGAACAAGCCCGCTTTCTGCCTGTCCGGGAACGTTGGGATCGTTGAAGAGCTTCATTCCTTAAAAAGCATACTCACATGTTAGATGCAATCGAAGGGCGTTTCCTCTGTGTCAGAGTGTACAGTGGTGTCCTTATATGTGCAAAATCCTTTTCAAACCTCCTGTGATAGCTCGCAGGTCCCATGAAACTGCGGACTTCTGGGTTCTGCTTTCTCTGTCGCGTCACCTGACTTACTCCTTTAAATGAGATCAAATGCCGCAGATGTGTGACTTACTGTCACAAAGTGTGACACCTGGAGGGTTTTAAGATTAGTCCTATCCCTATGGAGTTGTCCAGCAGTTCCAAGTTTGTGATGTTCTCTTGGATAGACCAACCGTGAGCGTTGACGTCATCTTAGTACACTAGACACTCGTGAGGAATAAGATCTGGTAGTGTGCTCTGCACAAGCCTTTGCGTAGTTGCTTCCCTTTGACCTTCCTGATATGGTTGAGCTCCGACGACGTGCGATCAATATGGCATCCAAGCGCGACTAACCTGTCAATGTGACAGCTATTCGTCGGGCACCATCAACTGGCCTCATTGAAGCGTGCACACCTCGTGCGTAGAAACGCTTCCTGAAATTTGCGCGGTACTACTAGAGAAAACTCACGGAACCATGCATTCCAAGACTTGAGCCGGGAAACTTAACGAGCCCCTGCCAGCGGATCTCTCAGCTAGTGATTTGGGGGACAATGACTACAACCGGTGATACGATTCTGTAAAATGCTATCAAGACCAGTCTCGGTATTCTTATCGTTCAATTCTGTATTCCTACTAAAATAATTTTCGAGTCAATCAGTGGTGGAGAGTCCGTCTTACATTTTTTATTTTGCTTCTCAAAGGCTGTTAGCACTTCACGGAACTCGCCATCAGGTGGTATGTACTTCCTTGCGACTTATCTGCTAAGTGACTGCCTTTGAAAATTTTCCGCCATTTGAAACTGTAATTTCCATACAACGGATACTAGATCTTAAATCCTTATTATTTAACTCATTTATTGACCCCATGCATTCCAGGAATCTCAATCTGATCAGATCAATATGTCGCCTCCATGGTGATCCTGTTGATCGATACGTGTTGATGGTGGACAGCGCAGTTGTTGGAAGCTATTCCACCCATGAACCATCAGGGAAGTGTCAGAGCTTGAGCTGGGGTCGTGCACTGCGAGTGCAATTGACACTGCAGCGCTATCACTGGCAACTGAGGTAAGCAAACGTTTTGGGGATAACTAGCTTCACAAGATCCATTTCTGGTTCGCATCCGGCGAGGTCCGGTTCTTTTTGTGCACTCGGATCCGCGTCTCTTTGGCATTTATTCATTGAGGACCCACTGACGGTACTGTGCCTCTAATAGCTGTTTTATGTTCTGATTTACTAGCATGCTGGCGGTCCACGTTTACAAGCTAATCTTCAGCCGTTATGTGTGGCCTGCGGACTATCCTACTGCAAGACCACCCTTTATAGCTTGCGTTATTACACACTACTCATTTTGTATCAACAGTATGTTCAAACAATAATCCCATAGTACCTTACTGGGTAAGCACCATCCTTCTTGCGAATTTCAACTATCCACCATTCCGTTTAGTTGGCTCAGCAATCCCCTAGGGAAGAAGGATACAACCAAGATACAGACGGTTAACGCAACAACTGGTCCTCGCAACGTTCCTGTGCGAGACCCTACGTCGATCCTCGATGCATTCTAGCCAGTCACTTCGAAACAAAGAACCTGATCGCCTAAGATAAGTGCGTGGTCAGGTCCCGAAAAACTCAACTCCATGAGCTTTATCCAATAAGGTGTGCATGAAATACGGTTTTGGAATTTTACGTGTGAACCACGTGTCCGGTGAGCAGTTTATTCAGCTGGTGAACTTTATTTAATGTGACTAGCGCAGACGATCGTCTGACTACTCATGAGTAGTCAGAAAGTTACTCCTAGTCTCAGCGTATGAGCTGCAGCCCGAATTTAGCTAGACAAAAGCACATACCTGAAGTTTGACTGCTTCCGAAATTCGGTTGCTATCGAATACCCTATTTCGCCTTGACCATTCAGTATGCATCTTACGACTCATTCTGTAGAAATGACTGTGAGATCCTCGGAGAAACAGATCAGATGGTTTGTATATTTTCAGAAGGTCCTCAAAGCCTCATCTGGGGAATTTGCACGGTACTGCACAACTCCAGTCGCTGGTAGGAAACAACGATATTGTTTTTTTAGCGCTCAGTGACCTGCATTTTGATTGAATGACGAAACGGCAACCGTAGAGCACGTTTGTTTTAGTTGTTAGTTTCCATTACCCTCTGAGGCATTCAGTTTCGTTGTCTTGAAAAACTGGGTTGGCTTTGTGGGTCACTTGTAAAACATGTGACAGGTAGATTTCTGCTCTAGCTCACCGAGGATGCGCGCGCATAAAAAATATATTCGTTATTTCTTTGAGGAGTGTTCGGATTACTTCTTGAATTGCATGGCCTCAAGGTTCACTCGCGACCCATCCGAATCGGACGGTTTTAGAATTTGGAAAGCCGCATGCTCACTCATCCAGAGCAGACTTTATGTCAAAATGTGTTCTATGGCGCACTCCAATCCGACTACTAGGGAAAGGAAGAAGGCTTTCGCTGTGGAATTATTCATTAGAATCTTCTCCTTCAACGCGACAGGGAAGCAAAACTCTCTCATACGCATCTTGTTTACAAAACCGAATATCCATCTTCTCCTTCAACGCGTCTTCTTGAACTTTCCTGGATGTTCCTTGACTGTTTCTCAAATGTAAGCAAATGCGACTCCATAAATTACGTAATAGATCTCACCTTTTAAGAGACGCGAAGCGGATATGCGAGAAAACACTACTCGCGTGCCACATCAGTAGTATCCACCGTAACACTAGGAACGTACGATGCATTTCTCGACTGCATTATAGTTCCCGTTTATTTTGCAACAGTTATCATTCTATCACGTGTTTTCAGACTTTTACGCTTTCTAAATTCCGTAAGCCAGTGCCCTATACTCTCAAAGCGCTGTTCAACGGTTTCTCCGCACAGTGAGCGGTCAAACCTGTGTTAGGGGAAATATTCCTGAGCGGATTTGGAACTACATAAGGCTCACCTGACAGATCAATATTTACGGATGCTCCATCGACTTTTGGTGAAAATTTGTGCGGGTTACCTGTCTGCAATATCTAGTTAGCGCCACTCACTCTCACCTTAAGTCCACGAGAGCAGGGCAGGTTTTTAGGACAACTGTTACAGTCAGCATGGGTTGAGTGGATTTGATGTCCCCGTATGCATTTTCAAACTATACGTCTTTTTATATGTCCAACTTTCTCGACCACCACAACTCGCTTCAATGCATACTCTCAGGGGAGCCCGACTGCGGAGTCCTCTCGGCTTTTCCCTCTTGCAGGTCCTCGTGGCACATTCGATTCTTGCTGTTTTATCTCATGAAAGCATGACTGCCTCTTGATCTTTTCACCAGTTGTACTGAACCGGGTCAGCTGCTGTGCTCTTCAGCCTGTGATGAATAGCACTCATTGCATCAGGTTTCTCCCTCAGGTGTAAACGAGCGATTCACTCGAGCCTCCCGCGAAAACCAAACTTATTGGCAAATGAGTGTATGGTCGCTAACTTCGTGCAATTTGGTTTCGAGTAGAACGTACGGTTGGCGGAAACCCTGGGACTGCGCCTACCTGATAAGCCCCAGAAAGGGCGAAATCGGTCTTGGGCTGTCGACGGATTTTGAGCAACCTTATGAGTAGTGCGTTTTGAATAAAACTTAATACTGTTGCATCCAGTGAGTCAAAATTTTGATACTATTCAAACAAGAAGTGGGGCTTGATCAGCCGTCAGTCAGCCCGTATATTGTGCAATCACGAGATCTCCAAAAATTACTTGACAGCCCATTACCGATTTGGACCCTCTTGAGGCTCATCAGTTAGGCGGCGTCCGATGTTCCCTTAATCTTATACTCTAAGAGCAAACCGATTGGAGACGGCTCGCTAAATATCCTCATTTGAACACTCGTCTACCGTAAATTTCGTTGAAGAATACCATGAACGACAGAACTATCTGGGATTCAGGTGTTTCCTGTTAACATCTAAATTATTCGACAAAATACCGATAAGACTTCAAAGCAAATAGAGTACATTGAATCTGGCTGAAAAAGTAGCAACCATATTCCGGTTTGTGTTTTTAAAACCCTTGAGCATATTCTGTGCCTCTGGTAACAAAGCAAGTTTGTTTCACTGATGACTTCACTTTCTTCTGTTCTCAAACAGTGAATTTTTCTCAGTTCATTCTATCAAAAGCCCGTCGAAGCTGAGTAATTGACTTTTGTAGGGTGGTTGTCCGTTCTTGAGGGGTCGCCTACTGAGCCTGACAGAAATCTGCCATTGCTTGTGGCGAGAACACCTGTGGGATGCGGATTGTACGGAGGTTGCCTGCTCGTGAGGGGTCGCTTGCTGATTCATTTAGGCCAAAATGTGCCGCTCAGTCAGACAGGTGAGACGCCGAGAAGGCGGAATCGAACCGCTCCGGCGTCAGCCGGCTACAGGTTTGAAGCCTGCACCCCGGACCACCGAGGTTCATCCCGGCAGCGGGTGTGCCGCTACCGTCCTATGCGAACCTAAAATGCCATTATTTCAAGTTATACACTAATCTGCACCGTAAATTTATTCTTTGGTGTCTGGGTGGCATTCTTTTGTTATTATTTTGTATTTCCGATTTTCCAATCTAAATCACGCATTCTTGAAGGCTGGGGCTCTTCAGTTTGGACAAAATAGTGTTTTACGGCGATTTTCGGGGATATAAGTAGTATAGTAGTTTGTTGTAAATTGCTCATGTGCATGATAGTGAATTTCGCCAATCGTTGCGTGTACGAAGCCGTTTCATTCATGATACACAGCAACTGTGCAACAGCATGATAGCACAAGTTTTTGTGTGTGTCCGTCTTCCATCTGCGCTCTTCAAACAAACGGAGTATGACTACTTTAGTAGCTTCTAGGGGTGTTCAATTCATCCTGTTTGTGGCGTTCTCTCGAGAGAACCTGATCCCATCCTCTAAAGCTTCATCAAGCTGAAATAAATTCACAATTTGCGAGACAACTGCGGGGTTAATTGATTTACACCCGTCTTGAAGAGGAGAGACTGTTTTTAAGATGCGTATTCTTGGTCCTACGATGAACCAGTCCAACGTAGCCATCGATCGACAGTCTCCATCTCACCTTTACACCAAACTTCCCCGACGGTTACGGTGAGAAGTACTGACTAGTTCGAGTTTTTCTCATTTAGCACACTGTGTTAAGTAACTGGGTCCTTTCAAGTTACAAATACGATGTTACCTAGCTTCGTTAAACTTTCGTACGACTTTTCTCTCCCCCAAGGATTGAATCGTTCTTCAATTGGATTCGTTTTCTGCTCTACCGACTTCTGCGTCTTATCGGACGAGCACCTGATCTGGAAGAGTTGCAATCCTTGGTCGCGAACGTAGCTGCCAACGCACCCACTTCAATCCCCGTTTGAACTGATGAATCACAGATTTTTGCCCATTTTACCACGCCGTTGGAGTTCAGACTTGTTTTTTTATTTTGTATCTGCTAACTAACTTGCCTACAGCTGGGAATTTTATCCAGTCCTTTCCTTCTTCAAGTTGGTACTTCTCGTGGTTATTTTCTCTTCTGTTTTCGGGTAGTCTTATGTACACGGACTTTTTCTCAGGTATTTGCGTTTTCGATATCTCTTACGTGTTTTAGCGGATTGTGGCATCTTTAGGGTGTTAACACCAACAAGTTTAGCTGGATTTGTAAAAGTATGAATTCATCGCTGTCAATAAAAAGGCAGTAATCCGGGTTTCTAAGGTTATTAGTATCACAAAGCATGGGATTCAGAACGTACAAATACGAACACAGATTGCTGGCTTATTGATTTGTTCGCAGAGCAAACGTTTCATCACAAAATGGGACGTCGTGGGTGGAAGAGCATCTCCATTCACAAGGCGCTTGAAGTTGGGTTCATTTCTCTTCGCGTGTGTCAATCAAATTACGTTTGCTTGCAAATAGATATCAGCTTGTTCCAACAGTAACACCAGTTTTGCAGTCGAATGTGGTCGGGCTTTTTGGATGCTCTTATGGAGATTGCATGATACTCCGCCTAAAGTTGAACGGATGTGGAATGGGATCGGTGAGCTTGAACTTGGGAGCTACCGATGAAAGGTCTTCGCTGCGGACTTATTTGTTAGGAAAT